GGGTAATCTACTACTTGAAGAACAACAGACAAATACAAGACAAAAAAAGCAAAGCGAGAACCACAGATAAATTGTAACACAAAACTACCACTGAAACCAACAAATAGAAGAAGCAACGAAAGGTTGCACCAAGGATACTTGCACCAAACTACGGAGGAAACAATGGTTTTAAGAGCAGCACACATATGTTAAAAATTAGAAGTTAAAACTAATCCAGTAAAATCTCACCTTCAAACAGTCCTTAGGTTCAAATGTATGGTTGTTTTCATCATTGGTCCCACTCATTCATATTAATGGCTTTCGGGAATATGCCTGCCACTGAAGGCTTTCAATGGTCAATCATCGACCAAGAAACACTCAGATGGTCGAGATCTTAATTCGATGAGAAATAAACCTGATGAGCCACATCCTGCACCAGGAACTCAATATCATATGGAAGTACTCATAAATAAAAGAAAGTTATATCAGCACCAAAAATGCAAATTACCTGGGCTCTGTAGATGACATTAAAGCACGTGTGGTCAGTATTAATATGGAATTCAAACCCCACAATGTGCATTACTGCACGCTCAAGAGCACAAGCAATGACCAGACTTCCTCGATTGGCAGAAAATTTGTCAGGGAAAATTGGTTGGATCACTGAGCTGCATCAACAAACAACTGCAAACAGGTTACTTGCATCAAGATGTCCTGTATAGCCTGAGGCTTCTGTCGACTCTGTCCCTTGATAAATTCTGCCAGAAGAAAGGCTACAGTTATTCGGAACATTATGAAGACTGGACATCTTTTCTATGTCTCCATTTTTAATGTATCCTTGCACCGATGTGTAGTGTGTCATAAGGTTAGGGTCCACACCAGTTTTCATCATTCGAGACAAAAGCTTCGTAGATTCTTTGATATCACCTAGCTTACAAAGGCCATTGATTAGAGCAGAGTAGGTCACGACTGAAGCAGTGATCCCTTTTTCTCTCATTTTCTCTTCCAGTTTAAGGGCCTCATCAATATTGCCACTCTTACAGTATCCATCAATCAATGTATTATAGGTTACAACATTAGGAGTTAAACCTTTTGAGTGCAGTTTATGGAAAAGCCTCAGTGCTCGAGTAAGGTTTCCTGATTTACAAAGCCCATTTATAAGAGCATTGTATATACTGATACTTGGAACAATACCCTTCTTCAACATCTCATCCCGTAACGCAAAAGCTTCATCAACATTACCAGCAACTGAAAAACCATGGATTAGGGTACAGTATGTAAAATTATCTGGAGTAAAGCCCCTCAGTAGCAAAGCAGATATAAGTTTTCTTGCTTCGTCTACCTTCCCAAATTTGCATATGGCTGATATAGCTACATTGTAAACAACATTGTTGGGTAGAAGAAAGCTTTTTGCACTTTCTTCAAGGGTATTTACAATTTTCTGAGCATCTACTGATCTAGTGTCAGAGTTGAGGAAACTGTCAGAAAAGTAATGGCCGGGAACAAAATCAAAATCCATTATCTTCTGCAACAGCATGTTTGCTTCGTCTATCCTACCAATCCTGTATAAGCCACTGACAATTGTGCTGCATATAATTATATTGGGAGCTAACCCCTTTTCTGTCATCTCAAAGTATAAATGGAAAGCTTTATCCATCATTCCTTCTCTGCACCAACCAGCAATGAGGGCTCCATAAGTAACAATGTTTGGGCTTAAACCCCTAATGTGCATCTCAGCAAGTAGATCTGTTACTTCGCTTGACTTTTTAGCCTTGAAGAGCGCACTAATAAGTGAGTTATACATTTCAATGGAACCAGGAATTGCTTCCCTTTCCATCACATCCTTAACTTTGAAAGCTTTTTCAATGTTCTCAACTTTACAATACCCATCACTTAGGGTCCTATAAGTTATTGCATCAGGTGGACAGCCGAGCTCCTTCATCTTGTTAAAAAGCTGCTCTGATTCAACCATTTTCCCCATCTTACACAATCCGTTAAGCATTGTATTGAAAGCAATCCTGCTTTTGGTGAAGCCCTTTGCTAGAACATGCTTCCACAACACTAAAGCCCCTTCAGAATCCCCCATTTTGAAAAGCCCGTCAAGCAGAGTACAATATCCAACCTCATTAGGAGCCAAGCCTCTATGTAACATCAAATGCCAAAGGTGCAATGCATTATTAATTGCACCAGTTTGACATAGACCTTTCAGAAGAGTATTATAAGTTACAATAGTCAGACCTACACCGTCACAGAGCATCTGGTCACAGAGCTTGAAAGCCGCAGTTATACAACCTTCCCTGCAGCACCCGTCCAGTAATGTATTGTAGCTATAAGAATCGGGCTTGAGGTTCCAATTATCCATACTCATTAAAACTCCCTCAGCTTTAACAATTTGACCAAGCTTGCAATACCCATTGATCATGGAATTGCAAATAAACAAATTCATCTTCAAGCCTAATCCCAACATCTCATCCTGAATCCTAGCAGCATCATCCATTTTGCCAATTCTACAATACCCATCAATTAACACTCCATAAGCATGCTCATCTACAACCAACTCCTCCTCCTTCATGCCTCGAAGCATGTCCTCCGCTTCTTCCAACTTCCCTTGCTTACAATGACCCTTAATCAACAATGTATACGTGACAACATTCCCTGAGACCCCTTTTTCATTCATTAACCTCAATACTCCTTCAGCTCCATTCACATCGCCCATATCAACAAACCCATTTACCAAGCAATGGTAAGTCACAATATTAGGCTCAAGACCCAATTTGTCCTCCATTTCTTCTACAAATTCTACAGCTTTACCCACTCTACCATGCTTGCAATACGCATTCACCATTATTGTACAAGTATACACATCCGGAACAATCCCAACTCTAATCATCTGATCATACACAGAAAAAACAGTATGAAATTCACCATTTTTAACCAATTTACTTAACAAACTATTGCAAGACCGCAAGCCCGGCACACGTCCACACTTACTCATATTGTCAAACACATATAATGCATTCTTTGTCAACCCCTTCTCTGCATAAATCTTCAATATCATATCAAAAACCGTCGGCGAAAATGAAAATTCTCTATAAACGCGAACCACTTCATCCCAGATGGAAGAAACTGAGTGCTTTCTTTTACTTAATTCAATGAGTTCATTCAAATACAACCTCGTTTCATCGAACATTCGAGCTCTGGACAGTATATGGACGATTTTGCAATAAGCTTTGACGTGTGGTCTATAAGTTTGTTGCTTTGAAGCCAATTTGAAGAAATGTAGAGAAGCGGTAGGGTTTAATTTGAGTTTTCGAAGAACGTCGTCAAGGAGGTCGTCAGAGAAATTGAAGGAGAGAGTGGCGATAGCGTCGAATCGTTGGAGGACTAGAAGGCGGCATATCCGATCGAGAATTTCGGGTCGGGTCAACTTGGATTGGTGCCGGAGGGGCTTCCATTGCAAGGATGGTGAGGTATGGATTGAGTTTCGGAGGTAAAGGAAAGAGATGAGTCGGGATGTGTACCTGAGCTTTGAGGGAATCATCATAATCATCAGATTTGTCATTGGTTCTCTCCTTAACGAGTCGGCGTCGGCCATTCAATCTGGAATTGAAGTCGCATTCGTCTCAGCTGTGTTTGGATCCATGGAAAAACTTTCCTGGAAAGTCTCGTTGATTCAGCGATCTGGATTGTCTGAGATTTTGAAACCTCAGTTGAACGAAACTCCCGTGCTCTTCTCATTTGATTTGAGTACAGTCTCTCACTAGTCTCCTCTGTTGCAGAACTAGTCTTGTCTTGTTGGTAGTTAACCTTTGTTTCGATTTCGAAGGTTGAAGACCCCTCGGTTATGGTAACGGGCCCGGTCATACTGGGGCCGAGGCTGCATGTGGGCTGTGATGTCGCCGGTCAATGGGCTGGGCTGGGCTGGCTATCCCACTGAATAAAAAAGAGCACTGAAGGGACTTTTTATTAGGCCCGCGGTAATGAGCCTCTTTTTGTTCAAACTTGATTCATTATTTTTATTTTGAGTAATTTAATTTAACATAATTTATTGACTTAATCACTCAAAATCATTTGATCGACATTAAGTCTTAGTATTCATTGGGATCCGCTATTAATTTAATGGTTGTTATAGATTAAGTAAGTAAATCATGTCAATAAATTAGGTTCCAATAATATTATTGTTTTATTTTTATTTTTATTTNATCATTTGATCGACATTAAGTCTTAGTATTCATTGGGATCCGCTATTAATTTAATGGTTGTTATAGATTAAGTGAGTAAATCATGTCAATAAATTAAGTTCCAATAATATTATTGTTTTATTTTTATTTTTATTTTTTGGCACTTTGTTTTCCTTTTTTTTTTTTTTTTTAATGTTTTGTTTTCTTGGACCGGGTTATTTATTGCCTTTGAGCTAATGGGCCACCAAAGAGTTGTCATATGAAAATCAGGCCGGACTATTGCCCACTAAGTCGTGAGACTTTTCGAACCAAACCTATATGTCACGGGCCAAATGTTCAGTCTTACATTGACCACTGAAATTCCTAAATTAGTTAGATTATTAACTTCAGAAAATACCATAAATGCAAAGGATTATCTTAATAACAAGAAATTATCTAACAGGGAATTATATATCATTAATCTTTTTGATATGTATACACTTGAGGTTAGAGGTGTCAATTTTAACATATTACTCATTAATTTGCATAATCCCGTTTATAAATAAAAGGGTTGGGTAATATGATTCATTTTAATTAAACGGGTTAATATGAATTATAAATGGGTACTTATTGGGTTAAATATTTATCTTTTTATTAAATAACACAAGTAATAAAATTAAATAAATATACTAATATATCAAAAAATATACAGACGATTACATCAAAAAATACATACATATACACTAATACATCAAAATATACACACACTAGTACACAAAAAAACACACACACAAATACACCACTCCATGACTTGAGAGTTAATCCATGACCCACGGGTCGACCCATGACCCCCACGATTTGACCATGACCCGTATCCCATGACCCATGGGTTGACCATAACCCACGAACCAATTCATAGCCCACAATCGATCCCGACCCATTATGTGTGTGTTCTTTTTTTATTAAAAGTGTTTTAGTTTTTATGTTAGTATATGTGTGTATTTTTTATGCATTAGTATGTATATTTTTAGTGTATTAGTTTGTGTGTTTTAGTGTATTAGTGTGTGTATGTTTGTATTTTAGTGTACTACTAAAATGTGTGTGTGTTTTGGTGTACTAATGTCTCTATTAAGAATTTCAACTTTTTTATAAGTTAATCGATTTAACCCAATCCGTTATAAAACTCAACTCATTATAATCTATTTACTACGTGAGTGAAAAATTAATTAAATTTATTTTAGTCTAATCCAATTTAATCCAACACATAACCAATCCAATATACCCATTTGCCACCTTTACTTGAGGATATAATAATTTATGTATTAGGATTTGTATTTAACTATAATCAATTTTTATCTGCTGTTAAGCTATCAACTTTGATGGATCAGCTTGATTCTCATATATAATAAAAGCGCGTCGGAGTAAAGATGATTACTCAATAGGATAAATATTAACAAAACCCCATTTCCAAAACGATTGCTAATACCCTACCACCACGCCTATCAAATAGNTTACTCAATAGGATAAATATTAACAAAACCCCATTTCCAAAACGATTGCTAATACCCTACCACCACGCCTATCAAATAGTTTTTTTTGTCGATAGTGTATATATTTATTGTAATATTGATATATCTCCACTCGGGGTTTGAAATATTATGTAATATTGTTATATTTATATAATAAAGTAAAGTTGAATTTGAATTTTAGAATTAAGGAGAAGTTTAGATCGTTTTGAAATAAAATATAAATACATCCGACGAACAACGTAATTTTAACATAAACGACGGTTCAGATCATCTCATAAATATTAATTCAACGATTTACGTTGAATAATAAATTTTATTTTTCCGTCCAACAATANCGACGGTTCAGATCATCTCATAAATATTAATTCAACGATTTACGTTGAATAATAAATTTTATTTTTCCGTCCAACAATATTTTTTTTTAATTATTAGGCCTTTTAACTTTCCTCCAAATCTCTCGTCTTCATTCCTTTATCACCACCGATCAAGCCCAAATTTTCTGACTCACGCTTCTCTCTCTCCTCTGAAACCTGTGCCTTTCAAAATCATTCCCAAACATCTCTCTCTTTGAATCCATTTCAATCTCACTTCTGCCCAATCACGCAAATTTGAGTATGTGATATATTTAATTTCCAAATTTATCTATATCTGCAATCTGATCTCTCTCACAATCTCCACATTGTCTGCCCTAAACATCTCCTCCCCTCCTCTATTTTTCTTATCCCTCCCTACCCCTCTTCTTTTTCACTATTCTGTAACGCCAAATACAGAGTCCTCGCCCACCTTCTGTTCCCAGTGATTGCAACTTCACCACTATTCCCATCTATCAGCCGCCATCGCCAACAACAAATGGAATGCCAGCCAACGGCCACCATCTACTAGGTATGTCTTCCTCTTTCTCTTCTTCCCCTGTCTCTGTTCCTGTCCTTCCTCTACCTTCCCCCTCTCTCTCTCCCTCTTTGACACTCCACCTAACCTTACCATGGCCACATCGTCTCCATAACCCAACCCCATAGCCCAATCTCCCTCTGCCATCACCACCGTATACCTATCAGAGGCTCAACGTCCTTCCTCCCCAGCAACTGCCAACCACTATCACATCTTTTGTCATTGCCACTGCCTAACCTCCATCTCGTCTTTCCTCTCTATAGTCACAACTATGGCCCCATGGATGTTTGATGAAATGTCTCAATGACTGTCTTATATCTATTCTATTTAGTTTCTCTCTTTGGATATGAATTTCAGTAGTGTTGTTTTCAAGGAATTTTTTTTTTGTCAGCGCTACGACGTCATAAGTGCATTGATTTCTATGACATTGTTATTGTTGTGAAAATAGGGAGTCAATTGGGCTTTACTTTACCACAACCATTGCTACTCTCTCTCTCCCCGATGGAATGTGATTTTTTCTTTTTCAAAATTATGGTTTCAGGTAAAGTTTTTATGATTCCATGTTTTCATGAAAATATTTTCTTTCTTTTTTTTGTTTTTTTGATCTCATGTTTTTTCCTTATGTCATTGACGCTAATGAAATTGATAGTTTGTGAAGTTGATATTTTGTGTTGGATTTGCCTCTGTCTTATGTCGTTGGCTTTGTGTTTTTTTTTGTTCACCATTGATTGTATATTTTCTCATTCCCTTGGGGTACAACTGGATTCCAAGACAACAGTATTTGAAGGAGAGAATATGGGGATGAATTCATGGCTACAATTATGTTTGATTTGATGTAGTAATTCGGTTGCATTTTGTGTTTGGTGTGGAAGTTTTTTTTTTTTTGTTATTTGAATTAAATGGGTGGTGTGCATGTGTTTGTGTTTGTTTATGTGTGTGTTTTGGTTTTTTCTTTTGGGCCCTCTTTTTTTGGTCATTCTATAGCACATAATTGTGGATTTATATCAGCGGTTTATACTTAATTGTTAACTACTTAAGTTGCCACTTAACCTATTTTGTATGTCAAGTTACAATTATGTAGTGTTTGAGGTTTATCTTAGCGAGAAAGAGTGTTCATCTCTATGTCAATATGTTTTTGTGTGTGTCAAGGTCTGCGAGGGGGTGTGGGTAATCAACCTTTCTTGACCAACTATTACATTAAATATACAAGCAACATGTTTGCTTGCAATGGTGTTAAGAAATTGTCTCTTGAATAAGATATTGTCCATAACTTAACATTTTTAGTTCACCAGGCAAGAAAGAATACCTGAATTTGATATAGATACTGGAACTCATTTCTATTTGATTGACAAAGTTGTGAAGAACTAATTTTGTGTCAGGGTTAAACTCTCATATTGATCTGAATGTGCATTAGTGGATTAAAAAAATTGAGAGTTGTGACTGCTAAGAACTTGAGTGAAAGTAATACACTAAAGTTGAGTTTGATTATATATAGTTCTTTACTGTTTCTAAGCGGCATTTTTAATAATTTTAGTTTCTTAATTTCCTATTATGTGGAAATAGTTTGAAGAAACTTTTTATTACTATAACTCATGTGGTTTTTACTGAGGAACATAGATTATTTGCGTAGAATGCTTTTAATCGATGAAGATTTTAATAATGGCGGAAATCAGTTTATCCTTGATTTCTCTCGATTTTCCTTTGTGTGCACATGTCTCAAGTGTGTTGTATCTGATTTATCTATTTATTATCTTCTAATTCGGATTCGTGATTTCTTTAAATAAAGAACAACATGATTGAGTAGTGATTAGGGATTGTGAAAATTAGATTACAATGCCAATGTGTTGTATGACCGTAAGTTGCAATAATTTTTTATTATCGTCATGTTTTCTTTAAACACATGTTTTCATGAAAAATAACTCTCAAGCAATTTAAGACGTAAAAAATTCAAGATAAGTTAAAAATTTAAAATCTTTTCTCCTTTATTATATAGATGGTAGCATTGATAATTTTGTCCCTACATCTTATTATTTTTGCTCATTTATATCATATCACCTATTTTTATCACAAATTAAATTATTTAATTTAGGCATTGTTAATGTATGATATTATACACATGTTGATAATTTTTTTGAAGTCATGTGTTTTGAGAAAAGTTTGTCAATTTTTTTTTTAAATTAATTGATACAAATTAATTTTAAATTATGGAATTTAAGAAAGAGAATGAAAGAAAAATTGGAATTGATTTTTTAGGCGCTTGAGTTGTATAGTGCCTCTCTTGCACAGCCGTTGCCGATGCCCAACCAGTGATGCCTCACGTGATTCCTCTCTCCCTTTTGCCTCTTCCTTTTTTCACCCATCTCCCTCCCCCTCTAGCAGCGACAACGCCGCTAATGACCAAGCGTTAGCTCAGACAACAGCGCCCAGTGCCTCCCTCATTCACTGCCAGGTAACTCTTTCACCTTCTCCCTTTCCCTGTCTCTGTGCCTCCATGTGTTAGATATAATAAAACGGCTTTTTTTGAAAACATAGAAGAACCCGAAGGACTCAATTTTGTAGGAGAACCAGGAAGGTTGTAAAACTAGGCAATGGTTCCTGAGGTAAGATTAGGTTATGGTGAAAAGGCCAGAAACTGCAAAGTCAGCAATTCTTGTAGCCATCAAAATAAGGAATTCTTGAAGCCATCGAAGGCAGCGACGCATATAAATCCCTGTTATCCTCACTTTCTCCCTCTATCTCTCTCTTACATTGGTAGCGCCCCCCATCCCTCGACAAATACATGCGACTTCAAATTCAAGAATTTCAACGTCGATTTTGGACTTCGAATTCTATATTGTCCTCAACAATCTTGACTTCGATTTTTGCTTAGGAATGTTTGTTAGGATTTGCCACAGAACACCCTCGAACACACACACACACACACACACACACACACACACACGGTCTGGGCATCGATATTTTCATGGGTACCGATAACTTTTTTGTATTGTACACCCTCACAGATACACAGTTCTGTCTCTTATGGTTCTCATATTAGTTTTCTTTTGGGTGAATGTTTTAGCATTTCAATGTTTGCTAAAACATTTCGATTTAGGACTTGGAATTTAAAAAGTTTACCTTCTTTGCACTTTGAGAACAAATGTGCAGCTGTTTGGAGGACAGGGGTCTGCTTATATAATTTATTCACCATATGTAAATAGCTTGAACACTTAGATTAAAATTATAGCATCATACGAAAATAGAGGACCATGACCATGTCACTATCTATCACAGTTGGAACTCTGTGAGCTGCAGTAATCACCGTGCAATTTGAGAATTCTTCCATAGTTTTGGATCCATTCTTGTGGACAATTTTTTCGTTGAGGTTGTATGCACTTTAATATATCATACTTATTTAGCATCGAGTTCTATTTTTTTATAGTTGATTTGATATTTTTGCCTTTTTATTTTTGTTTTCTTCTCTGTTTTGCAGATTTTATTCATGTTTATAGCATTGTAGCTGTTAGTTGGGTGTATCACTCAGATCTTATTCATGTTTTTGTGTGTCGTATGCACGGACAATTCTTAGTCTATATGTATATACATACACAGAAATCAATCATCATAACAAAAATAGACTGAATTAAATGGAGTTCCATAGCAGAATACTTATTGTTTCTCTCTAGATAGTCCCCATAATCTTAACCAACGTAATGAATCTTCTTTCGCCCAATGTACTTGTAGTAGATGAACTGAAGGATGATCTATTTATTTCTTTTGTTAAGGTTGAAACTATTGTGTACGAGGATGAAGGCCCCCTACTAGTGTTGAAACTATCGTGTTTAAGGTAAACATATTTAGCAAATTAAAAAGGATACTAAGAGATCAAGCAACACGCAGACTATTGCATCCAGCAGCCATGGCAGGTTAGCTTTTATCTTCTCCCATTCCGTGCTTCTCACCAGAATGCTGCATTGATTAACCACAGAATATGATCCACAGAATGAGAGATTATTGACAAAGTGTGTATGGGAGAGACAGAGACCTCCCGACGTAAGTGGCATTGGCAATAAGGGCGAAGATGAACATCAGAGGGTTCAAGCCCTGTAGAATCGTAGATAAAAAAAAGTGAATATTTTGAAAAAAGCTCGAACAATTCAATCTTCGTACCAACAGAACAAAAAGGTCGAAAAGGATAATACCTCCACACTCCCTCTTTTAATCTGTTCATACAATCCCATAAAATGTCATTAATAGAAACTATACAAGGTTTGCAAATTGATTCGTTTAAGAAATGTAATACTTACGTTCAGCCAAATCTGGGGGACTCGCCCTCCCATGTATATAGCAGCCATCAACCACCCCAGCGATTGCCCATAGATGTTGCTATTATCTTCCTATATATAGTTGAATATATTTCATATCATAAAGCACAGCTAATAATACTAGGAAATCACGTAAAGTACTAAACATTAATTTATCAAACACCTGCAATAATCTCCTCCCAGTTTGATTTATGTGAACCTCCTTCAAAGAGTTGCTTGGAAGAGGAAAGTTGGCAGCAGTAGCAGCCAGGAAAGTCCCATAGCCCCCCTGACAAAGCATTTCATGACACATTTAATCCGGAATATTGGAAGAATGTTCATAGACATAATATTATTTTGTTTATATTTTTTGGTTCAACGGTGAGAAGTGTTCAGGTGACTAATCTTCTTCCCGGTCCAATCAAAGACAGGTCATTCACACCAAATATAGAGTATTAGTAATAGGAATGAACTATAAACTCAGATATCATAAGTTTGAATCTTGTCAATCCCTTTAGGTCAAGTTACGAGGGATTAATAATAAGAGAGATTTTCAAATGCTTTCTCCTATCACCATACCTTTCCTGGATCTATGATTGTACAAAGATAAAAAAAACTTCCAACATGAGTTCAACCCATTCGAAACTGAACTCAACTAAACTCAACAATTACCGATGCTTGAAATTTTCAACTCCAGTTCAAATCTCAAGTTCAATTCTGAAATAAAGTTGGGAGCGATTTTGTTGGGATTATTACGTATCATATCAGATTGGGATAAGTACAGGTTGATGGCTCAAATAATACCCCTTGTTTAAACATGGGGATCATCATGCTTTGAACAAATCCCCAAGTCATCATTGGGTTGCGACACTAATGAATATTTGATGGTGGCCAAAATGAATATGCACATACGTTACTCCACATATTCGATAGGGAATATTATCCCTCAGTACCCCCCACAACTATTTAGAGGAGACCTCACCGCATTTACGTCGGGGCCGAAGTTAAGGTATCACCGCTTGCTCCAGCAGCATATAAATATTTGTCAATGGGCTTGGGGGAACTCTAGGAAATTACAGATAAAACTCACCGAACGTGAAATTCTCCAAGGCTGAGTGACAGGGTTGGTTAAGGAAGAAGGTGGAAGTGGTTCGTCTTCAGATGATGAATCAGCGTCACGCTCCAAAGCAGAAGGACCGCTTTTGGGCTTAATGTAAGATTGAAATGGTGGAGTATCACTTCCAGCCAGAGATCTTGCTGACCTGATCAACCATTGAACAAAACTAAGACAATCCATCAACATTTTCTAATATTATAATTTCTTGAATATGTGAACGTTGTTTTGTTTAGTCTCACTCTCTCACCTAAAATAGAAGTCCCTCCGACGAGGTACCTCAACAGGGGAATGTGTTGCAGCTGACTTGGGTTTCAAAGGTTTCGTTGTCTCAGCTTTAACCTGAAAAAAGACACCCTATTGTATCAAACCTCACTACCCATTATCTTTTAGACTAAGTTATTATGTAGACTTGGGATGGATTCAATCCTATGTAATCCACATGTATCAAGTCAACTAGGGCATCTCTTACGAGACTCAAAACTTTATAGTTCGAGGTAGGATGATTGAAATCTTTGTTATCTTGACACATTAGTTTTTTCGGTTATAATAATAATAAAAAAAAGCTATGAATTATAAAGACATGGTGTTACTAAAATGCTTCTACCAGATTGACTTTGATGTGTCGGCACCTCCACCATTGCAGAAAGTGATCGTAGTATAAGCACTGCAACACCAACACTACTGTAGTTGCTGCGTATAACTGCAGAGAAAAATGGCCATTAAGAGTTGGATTATGCATGAGAGTACTCTGTATAACCGCAGGGAGCGAGGGTGAGGTGAGAGGTTTACCAATGCGGTGTAGAACTGGGTTGGCAACTGCATTATTAACCAATAAAAACTGGGGTCAGAAATTTATCTTTCCAAAATAAGGACAAAATTATCAACAATGTCACGTGTTGTAACCGTTAATTAAAAAATAAACAAATATACAAGTGAGTTTAACAAAAATTCATAATCACCCAGTCATGTAATACATACATAATCACCTCCATAATAAGAAATGAGTTCCATTTTATTTATTTATTTTTATATTATTTGGTTATATCACGCCAGCATTGCTGACTTATAACAGTGGCCTAATATTATGTCAATTGGACCATATCATCTGCCACTCCAATATTGTTAGATCAGGTTAGGACAGAAATTTAACTCTCAATAGTATTATTCGTAGGTGAAGTTTCTTATGGGTAATTTCTTTGCAAAAGGATATGATACGTGTGTGTACAGATACATGTTTCACCGTAGCCATTTGGATTTTCAATAACAATGTACTCCAATGAAGAGAAAGTCTATAGGTCTGTTTTGTTAAAAAGAGAGAGAGAGAGAGAGAGACTTAGAACTTAGAAAAAGAGAATTAGATTCGGATCTTTTGAAATTTGTGACTTAATCACTCAAACTCTCTGATAATTAAAATATTACACACAAATCTCTTAAAATTTATACGTGCATATAACACTTAAACATTTATTATAAATATATCTTTTAATAAATTATATTCAGATCCCCTAAAGTTTGTAAACATATATTACTTAGATCTCTTAAATTTAAAATATTATACTTCGACANCTTTTTTCACCCATCTCCCTCCCCCTCTAGCAGCGACAACGCCGCTAATGACCAAGCGTTAGCTCAGACAACAGCGCCCAGTGCCTCCCTCATTCACTGCCTGGTAACTCTTTCACCTTCTCCCTTTCCCTGTCTCTGTGCCTCCATGTGTTAGATGTAATAAAACGGCTTTTTTTGAAAACATAGAAGAACCCAAAGGACTCAATTTTGTAGGAGAACCAGAAAGGTTGTAAAACTAGGCAATGGTTCCTGAGGTAAGATTAGGTTATGGTGAAAAGGCCATTCCAATGATTGGGATCGACACTTCCTCATATCATCCGGCTGATCCAGAAACTGCAAAGTCAGCAATTCTTGTAGCCATCAAAATAAGGAATTCTTGAAGCCATCANTATTGTTTAATTTTTTTAGTTTTATTCTAATAGATAATATAATTATATACTAACTATCATTTTTTTAANGGGATCGACACTTCCTCATATCATCCGGCTGATCCAGAAACTGCAAAGTCAGCAATTCTTGTAGCCATCAAAATAAGGAATTCTTGAAGCCATCAAAGGCAGCGACGCATATAAATCCCTGTTATCCTCACTTTCTCCCTCTATCTCTCTCTTACATTGGTAGCGCCCCCCATCCCTCGACAAATACACGCGACTTCAAATTCAAGAATTTCAACGTCGATTTTGGACTTCGAATTCTATATTGTCCTCAACAATCTTGACTTCGATTTTTGCTTAGGAATGTTTGTTAGGANATATAATTAATAAATATGATATGTGTATATATCAAACGATATATATAGACAAATAATATATATAATTAATTTTTCATTCACTTTTCTCCCAATTTTTGAGGGATTGATTTTAATGAGTTGGAATGAAAATTAATCAATCAACTTTTTCATCCTTCATATTTTTTTTTCTTATCAAATATAATATTTTATCTATTTCTCAAATTTTCTATTTTTCATTCTATCAAACAAAGTAATAGAGTAGTTTTTAAATTAAACAATATCCTGGATTCTAGAATACGTCTAGATACATTGTACTCGTCGTGTCTTTGCATTCTAGGAGCCCATATGAGCTAAGAGAGACGTAGAGATCTCAACTCCAGGTTTTGCAATGGGAAATTAACGTATTAGGATAATTCCCACCGACTAGAGTGGTTCAATGGGATACCAGTCGAACGTTTCACCGCAAAGTTAGAGTTTCAAGTTTTGAATTTCACATTGAAATTCAGTGATTGATCGCTATACTAACCTAGTTAAGTTCTTTCTCAAAAAAAATAACGAGCGCAGTCAAGGGTCTCATAATCTCACCAAAGAAGACGTATTAGGATAATCTCNTCTTTTAACCAACAACAAAACACCGGATTAGGATAATTTGTTACATGAATATTATTATGTTAATATAAAAAAGTACAATTCATGTAGGCATCTTCAAAAGTAATAAGACAGAGTTGAGTTAAGTAAAAAAAATTAGTCCCAATTTTTTTTTGGCTAACAAGTTAATGAGTAGATTGAATGAGTTTCATAATCTTTGATTGATTAATATTACCATGTAATTATTACTATTATTTTTGTTGTTTTTCGAGTTGGTGTTTGGAATTTTAATATTTGATGAATAATGCTTTGTTTTAATCAAATATTGAAAAATAAATGATATGTTGTATTGAAAATCATTGGGTATGTCTGAAAGTTAGTGAAACTGGTTAACCTAACTACCCAGATTAATTTGGTACAAAAATTTTGATAAATGATATTCTATCTAAAATAAAGAAGAAAAGACGGTAGAGGCTCGAAAGCCCACGTGTGATTGGGTCACGAATGGGGTTCCCTTTTTTGGTTTACATGAATAGTTGGATTTTGGATCTGCTTCTTTCTACATAAGCAAGGTTCCTTAAAGATGGGAATAAACTCTTTGGGCCTGTGAAGCCCAACTAGAGTTTCGTATGCAATTCAGTGGGTTGTGAAACCCAACCGGAGGTCGGTACAATTTAGTGAAAATTGAAAGTGAGTTCTCTTAGATGTATTTGTTTGAAGATAAGTACTGCAAGGAAACTTATAAGGAACAAAGTTCATGTTTAAAATTATATGTAATGACTTAAGTTTACTTTTTTTTTATCTAAAAAATACCCTTCCTTGAAAGAAAATTAAATTAATTTCCTATTTTAGAAATTGTTATCCCTTAATTCAATATTCATTAAAATATGTCAATAAAATCTTCATCATAAATTTAAAATTAAAATCCAAAGCTTGGTGGCGAGAGAAGCAAAGGCTCTCATCATTTTTACTTTTACCAACCAAAACCTTCTGTCACAGAACACAAAAGCACGTGTGGAAGAATAGACAGGAACTGAATGTTGAGGATGCTGGCATTGCTGCTTTGTTTGGGTTGGAGTGCTTTGCATGGTATTGTGCTGGTGAGATTATGGGAAGGGGATTCACATTCACTAGTTACTATCCCTGAAGACAATTCACAAGGGTAAAAAAAAATGTTATGTTTCAAATTCAGTGTTATTTTTCATTCTCGTCGTTCTTTTTTTTTACCATCTTTTGGGGTAAACTTTGTGCAATATTGTTTACATCAGCATGTTACCATGAATTTATACTATTCAAATTCATGTTAATATTTTTTTTATTATGTTACTGTTCACGTTACTGCTTTTGTTGAATATGTTACTGTTCATGTTACTATTATTTTGAGTATGTTGTTGTTTTTATTGAGNCCGGTCCAATCAAAGACAGGTCATTCACACCAAATATAGAGTATTAGTAATAGGAATGAACTATAAACTCAGACATCATAAGTTTGAATCTTGTCAATCCCTTTAGGTCAAGTTACGAGAGATTAATAATAAGAGAGATTTTCAAATGCTTTCTCCTATCACCATACCTTTCCTGGATCTATGATTGTACAAAGATAAAAAAACTTCCAACATGAGTTCAACCCATTCGAAACTCNGAGCATGTTACTATTATTATTTTACTAAATATTAATATTCAATGTTACTATTTTTTTTTGTTTTTCAATAGTACTATTTTTTGTATTTGGATGATACTATTTTTTGTCTTTGAATTTGACAACAATAATTATTGTTAAGTATGTTATNAAAGTTGGGAGCGATTTTGTTGGGATTATTACGTATCATATCAGATTGGGATAAGTACAGGTTGATGGCTCAAATAATACCCCTTGTTTAAACATGGGGATCGTCATGCTTTGAACAAATCCCCAAGTCATCATTGGGTTGCGACACTAATGAATATTTGATGGTGGCCAAAATGAATATGCAGATACGTTACTCCACATATTCGATAGGGAATATTGTCCCTCAGTACCCCCCACAACTATTTAGAGGAGACCTCACCGCACTTACGTCGGGGCCGAAGTTAAGGTATCACCGCTTGCTCCGGCAGCAANAATATATAAAAGAGAGGGGAAAAATTTTAATGTTAGTCAAACTCTTCACCTATATATAGATATAGATAGATATGAGAGAGAAAAAATTTTAATGTTGGTCAAACTTCTAAGATTTAAGAATTTTTAATTTTTAATTTTATTTCATTTCTAAAGGGAATGGATATTATAGTAAAATTGACAAAAAACAGACTTCATAACAAATAAATTTTCTTGATGGACTTAAGTCCAAACAAGTCCATATAGGGAGGATTGACCTCCAAATTTCCCTACAATTTAATAGACATAATAGGCCATTAAGTCCATTAAAAAAAATTAGGAGTTAAAGGATGTTTAATAACAAGAAGACTAAATTACCCCTAAACTTAAAATTTTCTCACATAGGACCTCTTTCTCTCTCCCTCATAAACATATATACTAACAGTATCTTGTGCAATGCACGTGCAATTTATCAATTTTGGTTTGTTCACATTTAATATATATTTACATAACCCTTAAGAGTTGTTCAGTGATTGAACCCACCCTTTAGTAATCCAAATGTCTCAAGTTCTACACTTCTCATATTCCCTCAAGTTCTACCCTTCTTATATCCCCTCAGGGTCAGTCAACCTTACTTCTTAGAGGACATGTTTTAAACTCGCTCAAATTACAGTGATCAATTTCCGAATTCAAGGAGTGTAATCAGTGCTAATCAAGACTTAAGGTGAGAACCCCATAGCGGGAATTCAGGTACTCACTTACCTAGAAGACAACTCAACCTAGAAGACACTTATATATGGACACAGCAAGGTATAAACAAATTGTTGTATGCACATGACTTGCGAGTCATTTACGGGACCCAGTGGAACTGAGTCCCACTAAGAAACATTGAGAGTGGAGGAAGAAGGGTGACACATTGTGGCTGGTGGAATACACCACCTTGCGGGCGACTTGTTTACCAATACTACTTGAGTGTAATTGTGTATATTAATTGATACAAACGTGCGTTGGACATTAATTGTTTTAATATTTTTTGTGAATAAATCAAAAATTATTTGTCATCGTTTCAACTGTTCATTACATAACTTTACTCCTATCAATTCATAGTCCGAGACTTGCTATCGTTGTAGTTTCACGTAAATAATGTTCCCCATCAGAACATCATCGGAAGCTTCCTATAGCTAATCCTTGTCACAGGCTGATCAAAGCAAGGTACAAAGAAGTATATCACAATTGTCAACCAAAAAGATAATAAGCTTAGTAAGCTAAGGTCCAAAGGAAGTCCAATAAAAATCTCTAAATTGAAATGGAATGAGAATATCTACGCATTTAATTAATCAATCAATTTATATTTATTCCCAACATCTACCATAAGACCCACTAATAGGCTCCAATTTTTTATTATTCAAATTGTATTTGTCATTGAATACGTACCAAATGATT